ACACATTTTCCACAAGGAATTTGGACACTGTGTGCATGTGCGTGCATGTAATGATAGCGTCAAGTTTCTCAGGTATTCACTGTGTGAATGCAAAGTTCTGTCCCAACACAAATATCTTATTTCCCAAACCAGGGCCAAAGGGATGTCATATACAGTGGAGGCTGGTATACATAAGAGGCTCTTTCTGCTGCAATTTAAGAGTTCTCAGTCTGAATTGGGATCTGCCAATCCAAGACTTGGAAAACAGACTTGATAGAAAGGGATTAGGAGCATGCCTATTTTTTTCACCTTCAGCCCTGAGACCTGTTTTCTTTCATCGCATCTGTCTTTAAGGACAGGTGTTATATATGCACACACAAATAAATTGCACTGGGACCATAAAATTCTGTATCTAGAAAAAAGAAACCTGGGCAACCTCTAAATGGTACTCTGATGCAGGTACGTCCTCCATTCATCTTTCTTGCACAAGAGGAATCCCAGAATTTCTCTTTTGTTTGAATAGACAGAGCCCAGACAACATGGATTCTTTTCTTACTTGCACCAGCCCTGCATTCACAAGTCCTTTGAGAATCAGAACTGAAAGAGGCATTATTTCTTTTTTAAAACCCCACTATCAGCCTGTAACAGGAGGCTGAATTAATTGGCAAAGTTATTTGTTCTTCTCATTCTTTTTAATTAGTTTTATTATTTCCCATATAGCACCTACATATGTCCAACCAATTCTTCAGTTATACTTTTCAGGCCTTCCTGAATCATTGGCACAGAGCACTGGACGACTCATGCAGCAGATTCCTTTGTGTAATTCATTACTATTCCTATTCCTACTATTATGTGGACAGGCTTACAGTGTATACAAATGATAACTGCAAGCTCAATTATGGGTAGCTTCCAACAAATGGACAGTTTCTGAATATGAATTCTGCCTGATTCCCCTCAATATTGATTATTTTTGTGGGGAGGGAAGAAAAGCCACTGCATCACTTTGTCTTTTGGGAAACTATTAAGCATGCATTGGAAATTAATTGAAGACAAACAGCTGTCTTTAGCTCTGGATGGCTGAAATATCAGCCAAAGCCCAGAGTGGCTTGTTAGCAGAGATTATCATTGGGAAGAGTCTGCAGCTGCACTGCTTTTCCTTCAGTAGCTGCATTCAATAGCTGTCACAGCACCAATATAAAAGCATTGCATATTACAGGGATTATCAGACTATAATGTAGGCAGACTGAAGGGGAGAAAAGAAAAAGAAAAACTCTTGACGCTTCTAATGTTTCACATGTGGTAGCCAAGAGATAAGGGCATCCTTGCTGAGCCAAAAGGCAAAGAAAAAGGCACAGGTGACGAAGGCATGCATCATTGCTCAGGGGAAAGAAAGATTTCTCTCCCTGTCTATCTCTGCACTCGGAGCTGCTTTCTTCATAAAGCAAAGGAGACATTAATGCTAAGGTCAAGATTTCCCTCTTTGATCCACTCAATAGGATTCCAATGCACTTAGCATTCTATACCTTAATACAGAGCAGCCTAGGTGTTGGATGATGTTCCTGAATTGCCATTTCTCTCAGGCTGGCTATATATATTCAATCTCTAAAGCATTTAACATAATTTTGGGTCACTGAACTCTTGCCCCAGCACCCAACAACCCAGCCCTCTAAAAGAATTCTAACATATACCATGTCCACTATTTGCAAATCTCAGCTCACCCATAAACTCAGCAATTGTACTATCTTCTCAACTTGAGTCCTACCAAAAACCTATAATTTGGAAATAACTCGATTAGACTCTATTGCAGTTTACTGTAAGAATAACTCTGATAATGCATATGAAGCTCTTTGAGCAATAAATATTTGTATAACTCTTTTTGTAAATGGTGTCCAAATCTTTGCTATTGTCATGATCATCCACCAGCCTGTACACCCTGAGTAGTCCACAAAACAACACACTGCCACCATGTTCTTGCAGAACAGATAGTTCCAAACCAGGGGACAGAGGACAGTGTCAAGTGTAAGAATTAATTACATTGTAATTAATGTTTGTACTTTATTGTACTAGGGTAAGGGGCCTTTAACACAATGCCATTAATATCAGCTAGGGTGGTGGATTTTCCAGGGAACTGCACTGTACCATCTAATGCTACTGGTGCTGAGTTAGAGATCCTTTACACTCTGCTATGTCCTGTCCAGTCAACTCCAATTTATGGCAACCCTATGAATGAAAGCCCCCGAAAATGTCCTGGCAATGACAGCTTCATTGAGCTTTTCCAAGTTCAAGGCTTTGGTTTCCCTCAGGTGGCACTCAAGCCATCTCATATTTGGTCTTCCCTTTCGTCTTCTGCCTTTGACTTTCCCTAACATGATTGTCTTATCCAGGGAGTCTTGCCTTCTCATGGCGTGTCTGAAGTATGACTGACCCAGTTTTGTCATCTTTCTTCTAGTGAAAGCTCTGGCTTGATTTGATCTAGGAACCACTTGTTTGTCTTTCTGTCAGTCCAGGGTATTCACAAAGTTCTCTTTCAGCATCCTGTTTTAAATGCATTGATTTTCTTCTTGTCAGCTTTCTCCATCATCCAGCTTTCTCACCCATATGTTTTGATTGGGAATTCAGGAGTTTGGATGATCTTGACCTTGGTTTCCAGTGAAAAATCATTACAGTTCAAGTCTTTTCTAGTTTACTGTTGCCCTTCAAAGTTTCAGTCATCTTCAAATTTCTTGGCTGCAGTCTCCCTTTGAGTTGATAACTAAGCCAAGGAATGTAAAATTCTTCACGATTTCGATTACAGTGACATTCTGTAATTCTTCTGTGAACATGATTTTGATTTTCTTAATATTCAGCCTTGGACCTGATTTTGTGATTTTTTTTCTTTCACTTTTATCAAGGAGTCATTTCAAGTCATTCCTGCTTTCTGGTGGTATGGTATCACCAGCATATCTTAAATTAATGATCTTTCTTTTGCCAATTTTCACTTCTGATTCTAATCCAGCTTTCCATATGATTTGTTCTGCATATAGACTGAAGAACTAGAGAGATAAAATATAGCCTTGTCTGACACCTTTACCTATGGGAAACCATTCTGTTTCTCTGTATTTTGTCCTAACTGTAGCTTCTTTTCCATGTCCCAGGTTATGCATTAAGACAATCAAATGCTGAGGCACACTCATTTCTCTCAGGATTATCTGTAGTTTTTTGTGATCCATACAGTCAAAGGCTTTGCTGTAGTCTGTAGAGCATAGACTGATATTTTAAAAAAATATTTGGTGGGCTCCAGTAAACAACATATATTTGCAATATGATCTCTAGTGCCTCTTCCTTTTCAGAATCTAGCTTGAATGTCCAGCATTTCTTGCTCCAAATACAGTACTATTATTTGTTGCAATGCTTTGAGGATTGCTTTGCTTGCATGATAGAATAATGCAATGGCCCTATGTTACTCGTAGGTGCAGTCTTTTGCCTTTTACAGTTTCTTGGAGACTGGAATTTATATTTAATGTTTCCACCCTGTGGGCCATTGTTTTGTTTTCTATATGTGTTGACATATTTTTGGACTGATTCATTTTCTGCAACGTGCAATAGTTCTACTGGAACCTTCTCTACTTCAGGCACTTTATTCCTTCCAAGTGTTTTTGGAACAGCTTTCACTTTGCTTTCCATTACTGTAGGCATTTCTTCATAGGATTCCTCTTTGAAGGAGTCTGTCATCTTTTCATCTCTTCTGTACAGTCATTTCTCTATATTTTTCCATCTTCTCTTTATTTTCTCCTGGTCAGATAGTACATTCCCTTGTTTGTCTTTCAGCATTCCTAATCTAAATTTGAATTTCTCTTTGAGTTTTTAGATCCTCTGGAAGAGGACGCTTGTATTTCCTCTTTCATTGCTCTATTTCTTTACACTTACCATAGTAATACTTCTTTTTGTCTTTCTGTAATAATCACTGGGAATTTGCATTCTGGATTCTGACACTATTTCTGTCACCTTTTGCTTTTCACCTGTCTTTTGCAACTTTGTTTCTTCTGTCACCCATCTAGATCTTTCCTTTCTTGTTGCTACAGGAATTGTCTCACTAATATCATGTCTGGTTTCATCCCACGGTTCTTGCTCCAATCAATTAAGTTAAGCCATACAAATTTGTCCTTTATGTGGACTTTAAATTCTTCAAAGATGTTACTTAAGTACACTAGTAAACCTGTCTTATGGGATACTGCCCTAAATACACAACAATGTTAAATTCATAAGGACCATGAGTCCAACCACTGTCCAAATTCTATCCATAAATTTCTAGTAGCTTGCACACTCTGGGGCTGAGCAAGTATTAATCATCAGAATGACAGCACAGCTTTTAAACATGTGGTGTGGACAAGCATGTAGGTTCTTGCACTCTTTCTCTAACTTCCTGAAATATGCACCTGCCAATCAATTCTACTTGGGTTAGCTTCTTCTCTGAAAGATATTTTGATGCAGATCTAGAATCTAACTTGTTAACCTCTGTTTGTTTAATTTTGTTTCTTGTCAAAAATGGAGATATTTTACTGGCTCTGGTGAACTTGAACAATGAATTATAAAGCAGCAAGAAACCTAGTGCCATCCTATGGGACAAATTCTGGATTGTCATTACAGACATTATCAAATTCACCCTAAGAACAAATTAAAGATATAAAAAATGCAAACTAATTGTTAGGGGACTTCTGGGACTATCTTATAAGGAGGTGTCTTCAGTACAGGAAAGAAAGTTTAGAAGTCTGAGGTTTTACAAATGAAATTTTAACACCTATCAATGATGTCCTTCTGATGCACAGAAAAACAATGGAGAGCTGCAAGTGGCTAAGTATTATGTGTAAAAGTCTAGGAACTGAACGCAAACAATAGCCCAAACCTACTTTAACAGATTGGTACTATGCTTTTATTTGCCTTTTGGAATAGTAATAAAGATGCTGATCTTTCCAATGTGAAACAGTGTTTACAAAACATCCAGTTTCCAATGTAAATTTTTTTAGAATACTCTAGAGACTTACTTTTGTAGCCATTCTGCAATGTCCTTTGCTGTAGCACCATAGTTCTCAAAGTTGAACAAGAATTTTCCTTTTCTGTAAGTGCAACAAAACAGAGTTTGGGATATAGGGGAACATATAAAATAAATGATTTAGTTTTTGCAAAATATTTGCATGTAACAGAGACTGACTCAAAATAGCAGATGGTTGGGTATCCTCGGACATTGTATTCTTCTTTTATTTTTTCAAATTCAGCTGAGTAGACATTCATTCCTGCAAGTACCTGCAAGAAAACAAGAAAAGTATTACTCCATACTACTCTTTCTCAGTATGAAAATCTGTCCTTAACTATAGCACAAATTATATTTGATAGGAATCTGATTGCTGATGAAATTACAGAAAACTGTTCTACTCAAAAACCAGTGAATTACACCACCACATCCTGGTCTGCAAATATAATCAAAATCTTTCGCATCTTCTAGTTCCTACCAGCATGGACTTCCAGTTGTTCTGGCACTCTATCACTTTACTAAAAGGCTGGATAGCAATAGAAGGTAAAGGCATACTGGAGCTTACCATTATCATTTATGGCAGAAAATGCATTGTGTTCTCGTATGGTTTTCTGTGGAGCATCCTTCTGCTCACAAAATAATTTTTAAAACAGTTACACAGCCAGAGAAAAGCCCCTGAACTATACTGTAGGCTACTGCATACATGACTTGATCCTGCCTGGAACCAGAGGCCACAGGGTTATGGTTTTTAAAGCAGAAGGCACACAATGACTATTTCATGAACTGCTCTCCTCTCCCATGCCTGCCATAGCTAGCAGTTGGACTCCCCCCACTAAAAGGGACAAAGCTAGCTTCTCAGACAAATGACACCCAGGCAAATACTTATTTAAAACTGCCTTGTATTTGTTAGTCTGTTAATGGGTTTCTATTCATTATGATCTCCTAAGCAAACACAAAATTAAGCCCATTCTGGCATTAACAACGGACAAGGTAGTTCAACAGTCAAGGAAATACTAAAGGCCTTTTCACACATTATCCAGTGATGATCTTTTGCAATAATGATGTCATGTGCAGATTTTACTCTTATGTGTACATTTTTAAATGTATGTTTGCAGAAAGGTTCACAGAATCACAGTGGCTTCATAGCTGAGTGGAGATTCACCTTCAAGTGCAATAGGTCACCTCTACCAATCCAAGCTACCTCACAGGATAGTTACAAGAAGAAAACAGGAACATAATCTTGAACACAACTGTGATTAAAAAAAGTAAAATGATAAATTTTATTGATAGATTTGACTGATGGTGCAGAGCTAGGCTCTTCATATGAATGAGTCTAACGTGTTCAGTGCAAAAGAGGTTTTGTAGAAAGACAAATATAGTGTTTCTTTTTTAGACATAGTAATCTTGTTTAGATCAAGCCACTTGATAGTTGAAACTCAAATACTTTGGCCACCTAATGAAAAGAAACAACTCACTGGAGAAGACCCTGATGTTGGGAATGATTGACGGCAAAAGGAGAAGGGGACGGCAGAGGATGAGGTGGCTAGATGGAGTCACTGGGGCAGTGGGTGTGGGCTTCAGTGGACTCCAAGGGCTGCTGGAGGACAGGAAAGCCTGGAGGAATGTTGTGCACGGGGTCATGATGGACAACAACAACTTGATAGTCACTTGTGCCTCCTGTGACACAGATATATTGCAGGCAGAGAAAGTTGGGGACACTTTTCTTTTTAGTTGCGAATGCTTTAACATAGATATATGTTGGTAGAGAGGCTGCTAAATCTGCAAATTAAAATGAAAGTGTGCTTTAGAGAATTAACTTGAAAGATTATTGGTGGGGGGAAATCATCATTAGAAAGAAGCATCTTCCACTGAATACAGATAAATATGAGTGCTGTATGCATGTAGTTCTACACTCACAGAGACACATGGCTAACAAAGGCTGAGAACAGATAGATGGTGTACACTACAGGCATATAAAGTCTGATCTTCAGACAGGGAGCTCAATATAAATTACAGAGACTCTTCAGCAAGGGCAATTAGTCAACCTTTCTGAACTTAATGCTTGTATCTATGCTTTGGAGCCTTGCAAATGGCAGCAGCTCTTTTGTTCAACTTCACAGCACTGGCCTCAGTGCCAGGTGTATATTTTACAAAAAAGGGAGTAGACTCCAGGGTAATAATGCCTTTCACCCCACAGCATGAGCAAGCCTACAAAAAGGCAGTGGGCTACAGAGTTCGTGACTCAACAGCCTCTTCTCAGATTCATGGAACAATAAATGACTTTTCTGCTCCTCCAAAGCCCCAAGCACTTTTTAAATGAAACTAGTCAGGGGACAGAACTGGCTCTCTCTGGGTCTAAGATTTAGATGCAAGTCATCCTGCAGCTATATTCCTCAGTGGCCAGTTGCTGAAGACACAACTGAAAGATTAACTACTGATTAATAACACTGAAGACTTTTAATCCCTTTAGCAGCAATGGCATTAACCTAACCTCCCCCACATAACGCCCCCCATCCAAAACCAGGATTTTCTTTCTCCAAATAAAATGCTACATCAGAATTTAATGCCAGTTTCCTAAACGAAGCAACTGCTCAGACCAAATGTGCTCAGAGCTAGTGTGAAATAAATCTTAATGCTGAACATCCACATAAGAAGGTCAGCTGATGCTCAGGAGCTACTAGAGTGTTTTCTTTTTAAAATAAATACACTGTGGACTTTCCCTTATCCACCATTCTTGGAAATCAACACCTACCCCAAAGAGCATCAAACAGATTAACAGTGAAGCCCTTGCATCAGCATTTTCTATATTATAGATTTATGAAGGGCTTTTTAACCAACTAAACAACCCTCAGCTTCTGCCCCAAGAGTGTTCAAAAAGACCCTATATTCTTTTTGCCTTGCTTACAGTGTTCCTAATTGGACAAGAGTGCCAAACGCTGGGGAGGGGGGGCAACCTAAACTCTCTTCTCATTTGTCTCATAGCTGCATGGCTCTTGAAGAAAGGGCATGACTGCAGGGCAATGTCTTGTTCAGCTTTTCAGCACAGACTGGCAATGCATCAAGTTACCCTTTGGGGAGAAGGGCAACCTTTCCTCAAAAAATCTCTTTCATCAGAGCACGGCAGGTCTCCCAGCTCACACTGGCACACAGTGATTCCTAACCATCATCGAGACAAATTCCCTCACAAATTTATGGACTACAGCTATTAGGAGCATAATTAGAGCGGATGTGAGGATGCTACTGAAAATGGCAACCTGGTGTCAGCTTTTCTCTCTCTCCCTACATATATATATAGTCCACCTTAAGTATGTTGTTTCTACCACAATGGATCAAGGGCAAGGAAACAGAAGGCATGATGAAACTGGAACATGTATTAACACAGGACAGAGGGAGAACACAGGGTTGCCAGCATCCTCTTGTTCAATGCAAAGTCTAGTTCGACTCTTAAAGGCAGTCAACAAACTCATCAGACCCTTTCTCCATAAATAGCAGTTCACCTATGAAAGCAGTCCTTTTCTTGGAAGGCAATGCAAGATTCAGCGAACAAGTATTAAGATTACCAACATTAAATCTGACCCAACAGTAGACTAGGCATTAGAATTACAGGTAATTCACTGACTTCTGATTGAAATGTAGAATGAGTAAAATGCTTTGTTTGCTTCTGATAGATCTAGTTTTTCCTGTTTCATGACAGTATTTGCCACAGAAGACACTGATATTAAGATGTGTGACATAGTTTCATGCAAGGTGCAAATTATCCTTTGGTGACATGTTGCTCTGGAGTGACAAAATAGGTAATGAAAGGCAAAATGTATTTCTATAGAATATTAAGACTGCAATAAGCATCATACTCCTTGGGAAGTAAATTCTACTGAAATTAAATGAACTTTCTGATTTCAAATTAGTTTAGAAATAAAGGAACAACAAAATCTGGAGACTTTCCTTATGTCATGATATACTTTTCCACTCATTTTCTGTTTATTTCTTCTTAACATAAACTAGGATTTCAAAGTTTTGATGATATTGTGATCTCCTTGTGCCCTGAGTAACTATGTCTACATTTACTCCAGCTCCCATTTACTCCAGCTCATCCCATTTAGCTGTGCTCCTACTCTTCTGTCTCACTCAATCTGTCAAATTTTAGAGATTATAAGCTCCATTAGACAAGGCCTATCTTGCTTTTCAGCAAAGTGCCATGTAAACCACCAATGTTTTATACACAGACTTGTATTCTTTTCTAATGATCAGCAATTTAAAGTTCATAAAATAAAACTCTAAACTAATGATTTTTACAGCAGATAAAGACTTGTTGCTAACCATATATCATATACAGAAACAATCCCTAGATAGGTTGTCATTATTAAACTGAGTAAGCAAATACCATTGTTCAATGTATTTGTTGAGGAATAATTAGCAACACTTTCTGTTAGAAAGAAAACAATCTATAAGGCCTCACAAGTGGAAAGGAAAACAGTGATAAAAGCAAAGGAAAATGGGTGAGCTCTACGGGTGGTGATGGTAGGATTGATATGAGTGAAGTTCTACTTTAGAATACTAGCTTGGAACCAAAGATCCCACGTATGAATGCAAGACAGCATGCCTGACTAGGGAAGGCTGCAACAAATCTGGGGGGCAACAGGTTGGGGAAGGCTGTGGTAAAGTGCCTTCTCTTGTCACAGGAAAGTTTGCCAATTTCTCCCCAGCTCTAGAACTGCTCTTAAGCCTCTGTGCTTCCCAGAAAGCTTCTGTGAAGAAAAACTTATCAACCTACTAAACTTCAGTGAAAATTAAGTCTAGTGATACAGACAAGCAGAATCTCAGAACAACACCTGATAAAAAGAAATGGATTATGAAGTTCTATATATTAAAACTTAAAAATGCCAGCTCATTAGATGTGCAATGCAACAATATACAGATATTAATAGTTGTAATTATAATTGGAAGAAGTAATCAATTACTGAAATAAGCAGCACACAACACTGACACTACGAAGACATATATTAATTACCTTCTCCCATAGAGCCTTTCCACCAGACCATGGGTCCTCAAACTAAGGCCCGCAGGCCAGATCCGGCCCGCCATGCCCTTTTAACCGGCCCGTGCCACACGTTTTGCACACGTGGCTTGCTCACAAGGAGGTCATTTTGGAAACTCTTGGAGAAAATGATCTCTTCGTGAGCAAGTTGGCATCTCGCTGTGTGTGCGCCTGGTGGCAGCTTGCTCACAAGGAGATCATTTTGGACTTGCTCAGAGAAAATAATCTCCTCTCAAGCAAGCCAGCACCTTGCCCCGCACCCCCCCCCGTCCCTGCCTCGCATGCGCATGCCCTGCCCCCACTCCAGCCCGCTCCTCTTGCTGGCAGCACCTTGGCAGCCCGCGGCCACCACCGGCACCTGTCAACTGGCCACCTGTTTAAAAAGTTTGAGGAGCCCTGGACCAGGTGCTCTGTTAAATCAGAGGTCCTTCTCTTTATTTTTTGCAGCAGGTCACAATTCAGGACGGAGCTTGTTCAGTTGCGTAACCAACACCTGGAAACTCCTTCCTCACAAAGTCATTTCTGGACTCTCCTGTTTAATTTATTTATCTATTTGCTTAATAAAAACCCATACCCAATAGTCCCGAGCAATATATACATTGTGCCAGCTAACAAAGATATGGTTCTTTTTGTCTTTGGGGGAGAGTGAGCTCATTACTGAAGGATTTGCCTCTTTTTAAAAAATTAATTTAAAATTTTACAAAAGAAAAACAACAATACAGCTAGATGAAAAACAATACAGCTAAAGAAAAAAAAACATATAATTAAAATCATGGTATAACATAACAAAGCAAGCATCCCACCACCAGGACTTTTAGATACACCCCAATTCATTTACTCTGTTGAGAAATTCTGCCCCCTTTCCAAAATTGCAGTGACTCTTGTGGAGGTTCAAGTCCTTTCCTTTTTATTAGCACAAACTCAATAAATGGTCCCCAGACATCATCAAAATTATTCTTATTTGTATAGCCTTTTTCTTTTAATTTCACAAGCTAATTTATCATTAATGGCTATATTCCAAACTTCTTTGTACCAATCGGACAGCTTGCTTCTCTTTCTGCTGCCATCATAGGGCTATGCCCCTTTTCTGTTGGTTGCTTGTTTTATATGCTGCCTTTTTGTGTCACTATTTTTCAATGTTTTGTATTGATTTCAATTACTATTTTATTGGTAGTCACTGGTTTCTTTGAATAAAAATTCAGATAATTTTTAAACACTTGCATGCTAATAGGATTGCTGTAGACCCCAACCAGTTTGAAAGATGTAAAAAGATACTGAGCAAGCCTGACCACTCCATATATCATGTATTCCTCAACAATGATGGGGTCAATTATATCTTATGGTGTCTCATATGTTTGCCAACACTTCTCTCTGCCTGTCTTTTCAATTTCCAAAAAATGTATGTTTAATTTAATAAGCCAAACAATTTGCCCCTGCTGAAGTCAATGGACAAGTAAACTCCCAGTTACTAAACTGATTGGGCTTCATCCTATCTCCATTATCTTCTCAAAACAGGAGGTGACAAAGTACTAAGTTATCATAAATGCATCTTCATATCACTACATTCATGTATGCACAAAACAGCAACATATCATTACAAAGCATTTCAGGCTGAGGTGGTCTAATTTGCTCTATGTTGGCTTTATCTCAACACAGAAGTTAATACTCTCATAGCACAAAGTTGTAATACTGATTTGTAATACTTTACTTTTTTGGGAAAAGAAACTGTTAAGCTATTGGGGTCCATTGGTCCCTCTCTCTTATTTACTATGATCTTAGAAAAGAACACTAAGTCTCTGTTTTGTTCTTTCTTCTCTTGTGAAACTAGTATTTTAAGTATTTTGTGATCCATACATTTTAAGTCTATGTTTTGTTTTCTCTCACAGCTTCCTGACAGCCCAATGAGGAATTTAAACTAATAGTGCAAGGTTCAATGTAACATACTGGATTTTGTGCCAGGGTATGTTACTGGAATGTAACATTAAATATCAAATATCATTCCATCACAAGATTTATCCAAATTATCAGCTCCTCCCAAAGGAAGTCTGCCAAACAAATATTTTCTTGCCAAAAGACTGATTTTTACATGTGACGATATGTCAAATTGTAATGGATGTGAAAATACCCCACCACACCTTTCTAGGTGCTGCAACTGGAGGGGGCATATTAACTTTTTGACTGCCTATTTGTCTCTTGAAATTTAATGCAATGTCAACATAAATGGATTTTCCATGCCCTTTTGACAGCTAAAAGAATAATCCTGCAACAATGGAAGGATAAATGGCCACCTGCAGTAACACAATGGGTGCAGGATTTCAGGAAAATTTTAAGTTCCGATGGGTGTTCTTTAAGCATATGTTACAAATGGCTAAATATATGGCTATTTGGGCTATGGGCTCCTTTTGTTTATACATATATATTTTAATAACAGTTTTGATACATCAATATATAGAGATATACAACTTATATATGGTTAGTGTTAAGGATCTTTTAAATCCTATCCAAAGAAACCTGTAATGTTTCAGTTCGTCTTTTCCCTACCTCTTCAAGGTGTGTTTTGCCTTTATTTTGTAACTCACAGTTTAAAAAAATACATTCAGAAAGACTGTTATTGGAATGTGATGTCAATCAAATCTATTTTTAATATTATATTAAAATCATTTTGGAAACAATCTCTCTTTCCAGCTAGAACTTTGAAAGAATCTGTTGGGGCCCCCACAACAGGTTGACAGCATTAAAACAAATGAAAGAGGAGCTCTGATGTAATCATTCTAAGAGTCATATTAATCTGTGAACAGAACTATCTCTGTATGCTATAAGTGCTGTAAGAGTCTTAAGTGTAGCAACTCCATTTCTAAGGAACTCCCTGCCTTCCAGGCCAGGCAGGCACCAACCATGTGCTGTTTGTGGCACCTCCTAAAAATGTCTTTATTTCAGAAAGCCTTGCCTGGTCAGCCAACAGGATTTCCTGATATCCTCTTTTAAGCAATGCTGTTTTATCTTTTTATCATTTTCTGCTTTGGAACCTGTTCAGATGTGGAGCTATATATACAGTTCATAAATTAAAAAATAGCTGTACAAAAGGAGATGCATTAATAAAGACACACATTTAAAGAACAATAATTAGTCTTGCAACCCCCTCACTTACATACATGCCCTTCAGTTCTGTGGATGCTTGCTGGAAAGATGGCATCATTCTTTTGCAGACACCACACCCTAAGAAGGGGGGAAAGTGAAGGAGAGAGAGAGAGAGGGAGAATGAGAATAAATATGATACTGTTAAACTTGTTTTCAAGGGCAAAACTGAATGAACAACACTCCAGCACATATCCTGTCATTTCAACTGACAAGAGAACACATATAATTTAAATGCATGAAATCATTCCTGAATTACCAAGCTTTAGAATTTAAACATCTCCTCTCAATCATTTAAAAAATTGTGGCTAACCCAGCTGTATGGCTTGGGGGAGAAGTTAAATAAACATAACTGCAATGCATGTGTACCTGGAACATTCTTTTATATCACACAAGTAAACTGGTTTCCTAAAAGCCGTATCTTGTCCTCATCTCAAAATTTTCCCCACATAATGTTGGAAGTGGTTTAGACAAATCTCTCACATCACTTCTGATCTTGGAGGAGAGCCTCCAGTGAGAAAACAAAGATGTTCCTGAGTTAGAGGATGGCCCCAAAGGACTTCTGTCTATTTATTCAGCTACAGGAGACAGTGTGACACCAGACTTCCTAGGCAAAGTATTCAGTTTGTCAATGATGTCAGCGCTAAAGATAGCTTGGAGAAGCCTAGACAGTTACTGCCTCAGGCTGCTTTTTATGTTGAAAAAGTATTGGGTAAGCAGATCCTGGTTTGCTTTGAGCAGTCTGCAAAGCTGCAGCAAACATTCCATTATCTATCAATATTTAACTAGTGCAACCTGTAGGGTTGTCCAGTACAGATTTGCTTATTCTCAAGCTAGCCTAGGTTAGAAAGGGCCAGTTGCAGGAGGAAGACCAACATGATTTTGAAGCTCACTTAGCTCTAACCACAGTCCACTTATTAGGATTTTAGGATTTTTTTTAAGGAATTGTGAAGAACATAGGAGAAGAGAGTCTATTAAACACTTCCCAAGATTCACTGGGGCAACCCCCCTCCCCACCAAAACCAGGACTTAAATCCAGCTTATGTTAGACCGATGCGGTGAATCTACATATAGCTAGCGAGAGGGAACTTGTCCATAAAAATGGAGCTGCAGGAATAGCAGCAGGGCTACATAACCTTGAAAATAACTCTGCAACCCAACACAGTTAAGTGTTTAGAACATGGGTCCTCAAATTACGGCCCATGGCTGTATCCCACCCGCCATGCCCATTTATCCAGCCTGCCATAGCTCGCCACGCACACACCCAGCGGTGCTTGCTCGCAAGGAGATCCTTTTCTCCGAGCGAGTCCAAAAATTATCTCCTTGCAAGCAAGCTGGCACCTTGCCCTGCACACAGTGAGGCGCCAGCTTGCCTCGAAGATCATTTTGGACTCGCTTGGAGAAAACGATCTCTGTGCACGCACACCCGACTTGCCACATGCGTGCATGTACCCCCCCTGCCCCCCCCGCCTGCACCACCTCGGTGGCCTGTGCCCATGGCTGGCACCTTTCAACTGGCTCCCTGTTCAAAAAGTCTGAGGACCCCTGGTTTAGAACAACCTTTCCCAATGTAGCACCCTCTAGCAGTTTTGCACTGCAGCTCCATCAGTCCTGACCACTAGTCTGGCTGGCTGAGGCTGATGGGAGTTACAAGCCCAAAATATCTGGAGGGCACTAGGTTAGGAAAGGCTGGCTCAGAGTCAGGGCTTTATAGGCCACTCTTTTCTAACTATTATTTGCAGCAGCCTTATTTTATTTTGTTTTTAATTCACTATTGATCTGTTTGTCCAGGTTTATTCATCTTGTTAAATAACATTTGCTTTATTTGGCTGTGCAATTGCGTTTACACCTTTCGTGTGTGTTCCTTCAAGACTCCTCAAAGCAACCCAGGATTCATTCACAGGCTCTGTGGACTTAATTTAAATTAGGCAGATCTTAGGAATTTAACTGAAGCGCCTTTCATCATATTAAGCACACAGACTTCAAGAGACCAGCAGTGGCAGTGTTGGCTTGATTACCAAGCAACAGCAATAATTCAAAGAAGAGCCTCCATTAGGACCCAGAAGTGTCTGATGTCAGACTTTGAAGACAAGTTTGTCAGTGAAAGAGGAGACTCAGCCAAGTCATTGGGCTGCAGTGTACAAGAAATTATGCACATACAATGCCAAGAAGATTCAAAGAAAAATCACCTTGTAAATTAGAACTCCCTCCTAATACTAAATAGAGTATTACAGGGTAGATAGCAAGCCTTAATCCTGACCTATAAGGATGGACATTGGCTTAGCTGAATGACTCCTAGGACCATGCAGGCTAGTAGTCAGTACTGATTAGCTAGTACACAAAATTAGATAGGAATGAGCTTTCTGAAATCTGGGTCATCTAGACTAATCATTCCCAGGATATAAGACTTTATTAACATTGCTACATTATTCTTGCACTGGCCAATCTATTTTACTTCTCTATCTCAGCCTGGCAAAACTGTTGCTTGTAGGCTATTTAGAAGTAGTATTTCTAGTTCTGTTCATCATGGTGTTGTGACTTTCTAAGTTGCTTTCTATACATTCATTAAAAACAAAAACAGCTCTGGGATTCTTGTAAGAAATTGTCTTTTTTTTTTTTTAAAGTACACTTATAATATTTATGGCCATTGAATTAAAAGAGCAGGTGGCCTGAAGGGCAAAATGTAACCTAGGATCCGCCATTCGTCCTCAGCTCCTCAAGTCAAGCAACAATGAGAGAGGACTTGTTCCACATCCATGGGAAATAACTAATTCATCAGCTTGGATCCAGACTTTCTGTTCTGTATGTAGGGTATAGCAGGGGCTCTCATTCAATGAACTGGAAAGTCCTGTGAGTGCAAGTGGGGAAGATGATTTTCAGCAATTCCCTGTCGCCCCTGTAGCTGCCGCTGCCACCTTCCCACTATTCTCGAGGATCTCGCAATCTTCCAAAGTATATTTTCAGATGCATATGAGACTGCACTAAGGAGCAGGGAATTGGCCCCTTCCTTTTTCTACCCACAGGAAGAACCAGTTCGTGAAGTTCCTTTTTATTTAAATGTGGAATGATCAAGAGCACACGAATTAGAAACTAAAAACTTGAAAAGATATTAGGACATTAAGAGTATTCTAAGCGTCGCCAGTCCACATTGACTAGTAGTTTAATTTTGCCTTGGGAGTGCCATCCAGAAGAGCATCTTTTCAAATCACAAATACTAAAAATTATAAGTGGAAGGGAAACTGCAAAATGAGAAAGAGTCAAAAGAACTGTCAAAATAAGATGGCTTCTTTGTACCCGTTTAGAAAATACTGTGGCTTAAAATATCAGCAGGTGTTTTCCCCTGCTTCAAAGGAAAGAAAACTGGAAGAAGGCAGAACAGCAAAGTGTCTAGGGGAATAGTTCAAACTGACAGAAGGGTCAGAAGTGCATTACAGGGAAGGACTTTGCTGCAGAAAATAGTTACTTCCCAGGGAGCTAAAATTATGAAGGTGTTCTGATGCTATGGACTTTCCCTGAAGGAATGATTTACAAGCCTCAAGCAAGCATTAGAACTTCAAACTAATATTAAACAGCAGGTGGTTGCAACATGTGAGCCTGCAATTTGGAGAGAAATCCAAAAAAACTGGTTAAGTGCAGCAGAAGTTTAAGGGAATCATTATCACCATCACTTATATATTCAATTTCTGAACCATCCAACAGCCAAAGCTCTCTAGACACCTTGCAACAAAAAAGGTTAAGAGTACATTTACACGGAGGAAAAATGCAATCTCAGAGAATTATCAAGAGTAGTCATAGGCAGCAATGGCTTTCACAAAACATAAGAAAATTATTAACTCAAGCTGATGTTACAGAGGACAATGCCTCAAGGTAGAGGATTTTTACAAGGTGTTACAAGGAAGAACCCATGCTATGCAATACCAACTTCATATCCAACAAGCATGAGTTCCTTTTCTTTGACTATTCATCTGCTTTCTTGGTAATTAATGGCCAGAATACAGCAGTATTCAGCCTTGACAAGATTAAAAGGATCTTCAGCTAAGTGGCATCTGGAATAGCCATAAAAACAAGAATGGAGAACACTACTGTTGATGAACACCAGACAGATATGTAGATGGCCATACAAGATGGTTTTAATACAGTCATACATTTAGTTTTGAACTGATTACAACTTCATCCCATACTCTTTTTTCCTTGCAGCAAAGTCATTTCTGGAAAGCAGACAATAGATAAATGCCAACTTAGCCACATTCTGCATTTAAAATTTTCCCAAGTCAGTTGTTACTAGCAAAAAATATTGACACACTCTGAAAAAGCGGCAAGTATTTGGGACACTAATTGATCCAAATATTATTATGACCCACTTTACACAGCAGAAATTGGTGTCAAGGCTGCATCCCTATTTCTCACAACCAACATGCAAAACGCAAAGGCCAGATGTGTTCTTCTAAGGGGTGATGTCTTTGGCTTGGTTGTGTATTGCTGGAAGGAAACTCCCATATTGGAGACAGTATTGTGGATTCCCCCAAGGATATTCTTCCAGGGGACTGAGGGTTTAAAGCCTAAGCTACCTGTTCTTCAGAAGCTCCAAGAGGTAGCACAAGCAGATTCAAGACCTCTGACCTAAAGCCATCAAGCCTTCAGCAGAATCAGCATCCTGAAGAGCTGATGTATGCCTCCTATGAATCTTACCTAAAATGGCATAATGGTTAGACTGAAAACCTTGGATCAGCACCTTAGGTGCTTCAGCTACGGGATCAGTACAACCCCAGCACTACTGAAAGCTGCCTGCACTCTTAGTGGTGCTTGTTTGAAAAGGAAATGGCCACAATCCGAGGCCATTCAACAGTACCACAGTGCATAGCTTTACCCTCTATATCACTTGCAACTTCAGGCCTCTGACAGTTATCAGCCCATGCTTGGGGGCACCAAGTTTCCAATCTGTCAGACCAACTCCTGCTGTCAGTGGGAGCTCTCCAAGGTTTTGCACAACTAAGTTTTGACTAGCTCCAAGCTTAGACCAACTGTCCCTGCCTTTGCTTGGCAGCCCATATGCATGAATGGGGCATTACACCCATTCCTTTTGTGCAGTCCGACCACATGCTGTGATGATGGAACAATGGCAATCCATATCCATTTGTCTCCCTGGTTGTTTCAGGCTGGAGTAAATAGGGTATCCAAAAATCTTTGGATTACATACAGCAGGCTATTAAAAAGCTCTGAGCTAGTATAAATGTAGTATGAGCTCAAGCATTTAAATGACTCAATAATTTAAGCAGAGTGGCCCTAAAGAAGACAGATAAATATTTAAAATATTTTTACAGTACACTGCTGAAATCTGGAAATATTGACTGAACAAGGAATCATACCAAATGAAGAAAACCAAAACAGATGACAACATACACATGCTACGAACTCCTGTTATATAAAAGGCATAGCTTAACAGTGTGTCCACCATTATTCTTCTGGGAAGAAGGATTATCATATTTTTTAAAGCAAGGAATCTCAGATCTTGCACATTCGATTACTTACAAGGAGCATAGAACATCAGTAGCACAGGCTTATCTTCTTTCTTCAGAAGCCTTTTAAGTTCCTTAAATTCCAGAGAGAAAAATATGCCATAATCAAAACCTGAATTTAGGGAAAAATACATATCCCAATAAATGTTATATAAAATTCTAAAGCCTACAGAATTTATACAAGGATATTCAGGATTGCAGCCAAACAGCCAGGAAGTCTGGCCAGGGAGGTGTACCACAAGCACAAAAATCTAAAAGGCTGCACAGGATTACTCCCTCAACACACAGCCCTCAGCAACGGAGCATTTGCCATCATACAGAGCTCGGGTACAAGCCTTGCTCTATGCTAGTGCCTCCTGCACTTGAACAAGCAAGGTACATATTCCATTAATACCAAGGAGTGGGACCTTGTAAAATCACTGTTGCTGTCTGGGTCAGCACTTATTAACAAGAGTGCCCAAAACTATCACTAACCTCCCCAGGTAACAAGCGCAGTAGCTTGAGTCACTTGGAGTTATCTACAGGTAACATTTGTGAACTGCTTCTGCATTCTGTAGCATATGCTATCTGGATTACAGAGGTTGATACATAAGCATTGATGGTCTTGGGCTTGGATTATAAAGTTTAATGGGCCAGCTTTGTAACCAAAAGGTGCAAGAACTGGAGGCATCAGCCATATTCAAACTATTGTCTAAGGCATCATTAACTATAGTTTATACATTCATGGATGACAGCCCATAAGCAATCCACTATTTATGTATATTTCTTGGTTTGTTTGTTTTTACTGAAGTATAGTATCTATGGAATATAAGAAGATATATTCTGTACACTGTTCTGCGAACTTGTCTAATCGAACAGTATAGTATAGAAATACCTTTAAAAAGAAGAAGCATTTATCTCAGTACCAAGGCAACCCATTGGTTTATAATGAACTGCTTTGAGTTATCTTTTGAGACTGCAGTGTGAATCTGCTATCAGCAGGTGTTTGCAGCTCCATAGTAACTATAGAGACCCAGTACACATGGAATATTGTCACTGTTTGACAAATGTAGCAATTTTTCCAGCTGATAGGTATTTATGAATAAGGAAAATCCAAACTGAATTAATGGGCCAATCTTCTAGTTGAGATTTACCCAGAAGGGATTTATTCAGAACATTAAGGAATACCTCATCTATGTTGATGGATTTATGAGCAATTCTATACCCACACTGGATTACGGGCCATGATATTGCTGGTTGCATGCTGCCTGTATTATCAATTTTTTGTTCTGTTCCTTGCTTACCATTATTGCATTATATTGTGACAATATTTGCTCATTACAGTTATATATTTCCATATGGGGGAGAGGTTCCTAACCTTTCCAATCCCATTGTTGTTAGTTTACTTTAGCCCTTATTTCATAGCCAGGACAGTGTGGGGCAGCAAATTCCTTGAATTAAATGCAATCTCTATTTTAATTTCCAATAAAAGTTAACTTAGCCTAAGTCTCACTTTAGATGTAAAGTAAACCATGGTTCCCTGCTAAGTACACAAACTGCAGCAAGTCTCGGGCTCCCACACTACTACTTTCTTACCTGTTCACATGCAAAATGAAGATGCATCAGATGCATCTTCTTCTGGTTTTCAACTAAGCCAATATTCCATGACAACTGAATTCAGTGAACTATAATCTCAAATATAAGTCAGGATATAAAATTACAGTTTAATCCTGACTCATCTGTGTTAAGGAAAGCTTAATTTATAGTTGGACAACCTATAGCCCTCAAGATGTTTTGGCAAGCAATCTCCATGTTTCCTCACCATTGACTATGCTTGGAGGGCCACAAGTTCTCTGCACTGGTTTAAGCCATTTCTGAGTTCAGATATCTCCTGAATTATGATTTGTTTAAAACTGAAAGCAAAATTCCAGTCACCTCCTTATGGGTGCGTTCGTGTGTGTGTGTACACATGCACACACACACACACGCAAACCAGATGGAGCAGATGGATCCCAAGGCTTTCCTCAGTTTGTTTCCATAATAGAAGTCAATGCCTAAGACCCATAACAGGGAAAATGAAGGTACTAATATGACAGTGGCCATATAAGCAACAGTATGAAATAAGCATGTATTATGATGGGCATGGAATTTATAGACTCTAGCGGATCATAAGTTTAGGATTTTTTTAAAAATGAAACCTACATTCCATTCTTATGAACAACTAAACTGAACCAAAACAATTGCTTGCTTGCTTTAAGCAGAAACCAATCCAGGGCAACAAGGGGCCATGAAAATGGATTTTTCAAAGCAGTGTGATGAGAAAGGCAAGAGGAAAATTTAAAATTGAAAAGAACCCCAAGAGAGCTTGTAATAGAGAACAGAAAGGTGAACATTAAAAATTAATCTTCTTACAAAAAGTGAATGCCAAAGTAACTGTTCCTAATACAAGAGTGAAAGCTAAGAAATTGAAATGACTCTATGAAATACCAGCCAGAGACCAATCAATTAAAATTTAAAACCAACAGAGTGGAAAAAATAAAACACACTGCTTGGATAGATGGCAAAGAAACAGCACAAGTGGAACAACAAGACTGAGATTCAAAACAAAGTGAAGTAGTACTCTGATTTAGAACTGTTCTCAGCCTTTATAAATTAAATACTCTAAAATCAAAAGAATGTTGGGGAGTCTCATCAGGTTTACCAACTCTACTTGCTGTAACAGAAACATTCCTTAGTTGCTCATATTACAACTGAATACATCACCAATTGTTAAGTTTCCCTCAACAAAAAGGACTTTCTTATGAGCCTTAAATACCTACCACTACATTAAACTTGTAAACCAGGGTGGGAAATTTAGGGGCCAAATCTGACCATTCTGTGGGCAACTCCAGTCCTCTCGGGTTCCCCAGAGTCATGACATCTTCCCCTGGCCCTACTCCCTTTCATCTAACCAATGACTGTTTGGTGGTTTGCCAGTGTTTGTGCCATTTTCCCCCTTTCCACTTAAAAAGAATATCACTTCTGTTTTACTGATACATTATTAGTACAGCAGTAGGCATGGCAGGCATATCATGAGCAGAGCCAGTTGGGGTCAAGGGTCAGACTAGATGGCCCAAGAGACCCCTTCTGACTCGCTGATTCTGTATTCTTCTATGTTTCAAACTACATATGTTAAAGGTTGAAAAGTTTCCCTGATTTACTGGCACTAAGAGCTTTAAGCTACAATATGCTGATAGTTTTTGTATTTTCATCCAGTTTTTGCACCTGGCCCTGTTTCTCAGAGGAATGTAGTCCCCAAGGGTGTCTTCAAAATGGAATTCATCCCTTGGGTTGAAAGTGCTTCCCTACCCTGCTAGGTCCCACTGATGCCTGCATGCTTCTACATTCTGACTCTGGTGTTAGCATACCCATAAGAAGCTTTAGAATAATAAGGAAAAGAGGGAATTGCTTTACACAGTGTCATATGATTTCTCCACTTAGCACCTTTGTACCAGGGGTGGACATTTTGTTTTGTCTATTATTTATTTATTTACTTTTGCTTTTGTATGCCTCCCCCTACTCCTAAGTAAGTATTATCACTTACCCTTGCTATACTAGCTAGAAACGATGGGAGTTGTAGGCAGACAGTATTTGGAGAACCACAAACTGCCCATCCTCAGGCTTCCCCGTTTCAGGCAGGAGTTTTTCCCAGCTCGAATGGAACCACTGGAGATTGAAGCTTGGCCTTCTGTGTGCAAAGCAGATGCCCTGCCACTGAGCTGCAGCCCTCTCTACTTCTCCCATTCTCAAAGTCACTGTGTTCATCCGAATCTGATCTTAGTGCCCACTTGACCATAGAGTTCCTATTGGTTTTATGCTCCTTCCACTAACAGATGGTGCCATATAGTTATTATAACCTGCTGTAGAAACATACAGGGGTATCATACTGTATACAACCAATGCATTATATGGACTTCAACGTTTTCTCTCATAGTCCAAGCTACTTCACTGCTATTTCTAAATTATTTTAGCTTAAAGTGTGAGCAGTTCCACTAACCCTGTCTTTTAAAAGTTCAGAAGAGGAAAAATAAATACATTTCTAAGTATCTCATTTCTCATTTACACACCTTTAGTTTCTCAAATTTACCAGAGCAACAAGTTATGTGCAGTATATGCCAAGTTTAAACACTGTTTAGAATAAGACCGATTCATAAAATAAAGGAGTATTTATAATTCTGAGTAACATACCTTTTCACTGTCAAGATGGACAACATCTTTGGCTTCAGGATCCTCCTCCCACAATGGAGCTCCTTCTGGATCTTTAAGAAAGGCCACCATTGACTGCAAAAAATGGAAAGAAAGACCATATATTTTAACCACAGCTCCAGCAGAATTATGAACCACCCAGCAACAGCAATTTATTATAGTCAGTGTCCAGCTTGTCCTTAATAAACTATTTACAAATAGAACCATAGGTTAAAATATTCCAATCATTAAAAGGCAAAATAACAAATGATATCAAATTGATTAAAATTACTGGTTACAATTTCCAATTAAAATTTTAAAACATTACATACAATATTTTTGTGGATCTTGCAGGCAGCTGCAAAAAACCTAGCAGAACCTCAGGATCCTGGCAACCTCAGGATCAGATCTGCCTGGCTACCTCCTAAACTGATGAGAAATAAACTTGGCCCGTATTTCTTGATAAAACCGGCAGTAAAAAATAACATGTTCAATTGATTCAACCTCTCCAGTGCCACAAGGGCAAACCCTCTCTGCCATTGGCGTCTTAAAATATTTCTCCTCCAAGACCTCAGAGGGGAGTAATCACCATCTAGCTAGGGAGACCCTTTAAGAGTGGGAAACTCCAAGATTGATACATAAGGTGCTGTGATAACAATATATCTGGTGTTCTCTGGTGCCAGAAAATCTGGAACTCTCCTATTTTTATGTTGCCACTCAGTATCTAACACTCTCTGTGTGGTGATTGCTATTGTCCAGTTTAGTTCCATCACTAAATGAGTCTGTGGTGAGAGCCTAGAGATGTGAGTTTTAAATGGACTGCAATTAGCCAGGACCATCAAAACAGTCCTGAAGGATTAAAGAAGTGAGTCCTTGGGGGCAGTAGTTTAATCTGAGCCAGGAACTAACAGAGGTGAGGCTTACCCTAGCCTCCCTTTTGATCAGTCCAGATTATAAGCGCATGCCAGCGTTAGAGACACAGCTAGGCATATGAAAAATTGCCCGTATAAATTTTGATTGAACTTTTTCTAATAGGGCAAAACTAGAGGATATTGGACCTAAGAGTGCCCTACAGAGGACTTGAGGTAACATTTTGGCCTGATAATTTAAGGACAGCAGGAATATACTGTCCTCCATTGGTACAAAAGGGTCTTAATATAGGCTGAGTCAATCTTTGGGCCAGCACAGCCACATATTCATGATGAGCATTCCTTGCTCCTGAGGATTGCAGCAGCACTCCTAAAAAAACACATAACCTCCGGATCCTGATTTTGGGTCTTTTCCCAAAAGCCATAATCTTAGTTTTTTTGATAGTTGATATTCAGCAAGTTCTCATTACAAAAGAGACTAAATGCCTGCAAAGCTCTCCTAAGGCCCCAGAGGTCCTGGAGAGTACCACCTTGTCATCAACATATAAGAGTGTAGGAATCTTTCTTTCAGCTAGCTTGGGAAAGAGTATGCCAAGATTATTTAACCGTTTTATCACATAATTGATGTAAAGGCTGAATAGCAGTCGTGCCAGTACACATCCTTGTTGCACGCCTTTTGATAGAATCAGTAAGATGCACCATCTTATTACATCTAACTTTCAAAGATGTATTGGAATATAGAGCTTATATCAAATATAAAGGCCTTTGGTCAATAGATGTAGCCTCAAGTTTCTCCCATAATTTTTCTCTGGAGATAGAGTCAAATGAAATAGCAGTAGAACAGGGGCAACAATAGATCCTTCCTCCAGCTACAAAGCACCCTGCGCAATCTTGAATCTGTTAGCATCTCTTACTACACTGTTGCAAGAATTAAAAGGGAGGAGCAACTATGCTCTGAATTCCTGGAATAAAAGGTAGAATAAAAATGCAATAAATGATACATGAAAAGCATGTATTCCCCTTTGAAATTACGGTTTCTTCCACATTCCAGATTGAAAACAGGAATGTTCCTGACTAGGATGAATGTGACTCAAAACTTTCATTAAAATGGCCTAAGAGTAAAACTAAATGTTATATTATATTAAGTAGCAGAGGAGTCATCTTTTCTTCACTTTTCTTTCTTTTTTTTAAGTTGGGAGGATCCAATTTCCTGTGTAGAGAGAGATTTCTTTTCTTCTTCTCCAGTCATGATTATATCAACAAGATTCCTTCCCTGTGGCTTGGGAGTGTGGAGAAGGAATCCCAGCTGATACAAATGGGGACTTTTTCTTTAGCACCATTATGGGTTGATAAACTGGAGCTGGGTAGGGGGAATTACATCTCCCTTTCTTGAGCTGGAAGTGGGAGGTTCCCAATAAAAACCCTGTTTGAAGAACAAAGGCACAGCTTCTAGCTATAACTTTACTATCACATGCAGTTAGACCCAGATATATCAATTCTATTCCCAATGATAAGTATGGGATTTAAAAATCAAATAACCACTACTGTTCTGAGAAATAAGTAAGGTGTGGGTTTCATTTAATATTTCTTCAGTGCAAGACAACTCATTTAGCAATTTAAAAGCATTACACACACCATTCTGCTTCTTCTGTCACAAGTACAGCTTTGCTATCCAGAAAAGATCTCTGTTGACTAACAAAATAGAAAGGTGGAACACTGAATTTATCATCATCATCATCATCATCATCATCATCATCATCATCATCATCATCATCTCCTCTGTATCACACAATACCCAAAGGTCTCTGGTGGTTTACATCCTAAAAAGGCTACCTGGAATTCCAATTTGCAAGAACCTCTGTATGCTAGGGCACATGCCATCACAGCATTCAGGACAATCACAACAGAAAAAAAACTTTCATTTCAGCTAGTTAAACTCTTTCTGTCTCTCTCCAACAGAAAAGAATATACAATGTTTTTGGCAGAAGAGGTAGCCTGTTACCATTTGCTCAGTCTCCTGTCTTATAGCTTTTAAAAAATCATTTAAAGAAGCACATGCAACAATAAAGCATAACCACAATTCCTGACTCCGAAATGTGGGGCATTCCAGACTCACAAGGGAGCTAAACATCTTCCAACACTGGCCTTCAGGATGTGGCACATGGCCCTTGTCATTGTGGCTCACATGCAACTGAGCTACATGTTTTTATTTTGCTTTGCTTTAATTAACCTAACATGTTAAACAGACATTCTAACACCAGTGGCTTTCTTTGTTTCCTATCACATTGGTAAAGCTTTTATGTGGGGAGAAGAAAAACTAAAAACAAAGCAAAATAGAAACAAATACACAGGCATATGGAAAATGCAAACAACATCATACACACTGGGTCTTTTACTTTTAATAACTGAATGAGATTGGGGAAGGATGCCCTTTAAAGTTCCTTCTTCGTTTTTATTACTAATGTAAGGAACTCCATATGCTTAGCTTTTCTAGCAAGTGCTCTGCATGTCTGATTTTTTCACAGTTCTTTGCAACTTCTTTAGTTAGCTGCAGGCATTTCCAACTGTTATTTCATTATTGATTAATTCAATGTAGTTAATTAATACATTAATACACTTTTGCACAAAAAACAGCACTCGGTAGCTAATGAAACACAGATAGTATAGAATTGTACTTAAAAGATAAAAACCTATCAATTATAAGCACAGCCATTAAAGCTCATTAATGTAAAAGAAATGAATAGCACCTGTCAGATTAAAGCTTACCTCAACATCAACTCAGCTTAATACTATGAACCTGCCTGAATAAAAATGTATTTATCTGACAGATGAAAGACAACAGATGGAGCTGCTTTGGCCTCCCATGGCAGGAAGTTCCAGAGCTTGGAAAGAGCCAACTAGAAGGTTCTCTTTCACATTTTCCATCACTCAATGAGTCTCTGATTGTAATGGGACAGACAGAAGGGCTTTTCCAAATGATACCAGCCTTTCCTACAAGCATATGGTATTGAATCATGCTGGAACATTTGGAGAAATACTCGAAGTGCTATTGCAGAAGAGTAAAGGCAATTAATACCAAGTGAATTCAGCTTAGTAGATTCCTGCGCATGGAATTTTTTAAAGGCTGTTCTGGATCTCAAAATGTATCCCACAATTGCAGAGACAGAGCCAAATGGATTTCACATACTTTATGAGATTACTTTAGCAAACAAAGCTTCTTTCTAAGTTGCCACAAGCAATACCAAGTCCAGATTTTAGAAAAGCCTTGAGCAAGATGCTCACAGTTGGGTCTTCCTGCAGAATGTGCCCAGATTGTCTTCTCATTGCTGAAGCTGCCATTCTATTTCCTTGCTTTGCTGATTCTGAGACCAATCCACACCACTTCCAGTAAGGAAGAAGATAAGAAGTGCTGAGGCTACTGTTCCCCTCACTGCTTGCCCATCTGGCAAGTTCAAGTAAATAGGCAGTAACAGCAAGAACAAAGAAAAGCAGGGCCAAGAATCTCTAGGATTGGCAATGGACTCCTACAGGACATGGGACCAAGCTCTAAACCAGGGCTTTTCTACTCAGTGTAGTTCTGGATATTCTCTAAGATATCTCCTTTCTCTTTTGTGCAATGCCTGCTAAAGCCAAGCAACAAAAGGAAAGCTGTCTATTTTACCCATTCTGTGGGCATCTCTCTGGGACTTTGTGGCTGTAATCAGATCTAAGAAAAGGCCATTTTGTCTCTCTTTCCAGCTGATCTCATGCCAAATAAAATAGAAGGGGGAAATATTTTTTCCAGTCATGATCAGGCTAATGTTATCAGATATAGCCTGTCATCAAAAGGGAACTAAAGCACACAGAATAAACACACACAGAGATATCCTCACTTTAAAGTATATACAATTAAAAATCCTCTGTTTGTTGGTAGTTTGCAAGTATGCTCACAATTTATATTGCAATTTAACATTGACTCAATCTAGTTAATCACTCACAGCTTCACAGGATGTTTGGCTGGCAGATGTGCCAGAGATTAGAGAATGAAAAGAAAACCTCTAGGTCAGTCAAACAGCTGTTTGTGAAATCTATCATTCCTCCCACCCAAATATAAAGCTGCAAGCATTAACATCTGTTCTACACCCAAACATCTCTCTCCCTCCTCCCCCCACATCCAGTGTACCTCTAACTACTGTAAATTTACCTTTAGTGTGTGCGCTCTGCTGTATTCAGTATGAAATGCGCCATCCCTGTCAAGAAATGGAATATGGAGGGAAACAGCAATTAATTTCAGAAGTGTCATTAGAAAGTCATGCAGCTGTTTATTCTGGTCAGGATAAATGAAGTTTTCATCAGTTTGCAGGGGTGTGCAAAACAGAGCCATCAAAAACAAGTTCTTGAGACAAACAGGTCTCTAATGGGCTATCATTTGCACAAAGCCTTAATGAAAGCATTTACCACAAGCCAGATTTGGGGAGTGGCAGATGCACATGGGAACTTCCATTTGCAACAATGCATTGCTATATTTACACATATTGGTCCCTGAAGAGCTAAAACATTCATGTGCTAAAGTCTCATGAAATCAATGAGCTGGTAAACCAATCTCCAACTGATTTGGGTAGAACAGGTAGAGACTAACTCATTGCAAAGAATATCTAAGAAATACAGGATCTCTAAATCCCTAATTGTTATTTTTTCAAGATGTGAGTAATTATTTGAATAAACTCATCATTTTTAAAAGAAAAATCTCAGTTTGTCACTCTTACTATGGTAAACATTCATGTTTGGAGCTGCTGGAAACAAATGATGGGGGACCCAACCCTTCCTCACCTCCAAAATTCAAAGGAAGTCTGGGACTTATTTTGGTGCCTATGCTTGCTGGGTGACCTGCCTTGATCATGAGGGGGTGTCCATGGGGCCTGATGAATGCCAACAGTAGCCAGTTGAACAGCTTTCCCCAACTGTCCTGATATGATAGATCACTCATGTGATTTCCAATGACCAAGTCAATCACTGGTGGTGAGAAGATCTATAATTTAGCACATCTGGAGGGCATCAGGTCGGTGAAGGCTAGATTTGTAATGCCTTGGCTAGCTCCAAATTGACAATTTTCTCCAATGAATATTAGAGCTCAAGCAAGGTTGAGCTCTTGGACTTAGCCACTCCTGCCGAGGTCCATCCACTTCTTGATACATACAAGAACTTAAAGGGCAGATCCTCTAGCCTTGGTTAGCCCTTAGTTAGCTTTCTGTCCCCTGTGCCACCTCTGCTGGGAAGTCCTCCAGCTCCAGGAAGTACAAGGCCCTTGTTGTGATGGCAGCCAATTCCTTAGGGTAATCTGGGTGAGGGAGTACCATCTCTGTGGGTCCCAGTTCAAGAGATTTTGGCTTGAGGGGATCCTTGGTTGACAGGCAGTTCAGTGTTGGGATGTAGTTCAACACCTCTGCAGCTCACACTGCTGGTATTTCAGGTAAAACTGGTTCTTCTCTTGTGTGTTTTCATCCAGGCTTCTGCTCAGGGTCTCAATTCTAGGAGTTCAGAGCACTAAGCAAGTGCTGAAGTGGTTGTAGGAGGAGGTAGAGGCACATGAGTCTGCCCCTGCGCAGGCACAGGGACAAAGCCTCTACCACTGCTTGGACATGGAACAGGCTGCGGCATGTGGCCTTGCTGTTCGTCTGAAGTACCATCAAGTGCAGAAGTAAGCATGAAGTGGGTAGGCAGGTGCATGATCACATTATTGCATGGATATCCTGCTTTTTTCCCTCTTGCAAGGGGGTTTGCATAGTCTTGCTCTCCACTGTATCTTCATAACATTCCTGTGAGGCAGGTTAGGAGCTGTGAGTCATTGACTGACCCAAAGGGATCCAGTGAGCTTCACGGCTGAGTGGAGCTTAGAACCCAGATCTGAGTCCTAGCCCAATGATCCAATCTTTACACCATGCTGGTCCTCTTGCCCAGTTATGATTTGCTTCTGCACTTAGCAGTGCTTCAAATGTTTGGCAAGTGCACCAATAAAAGGAGTCTCTATTTCTGTCCTCTGAGCTGGAATGGGTCGGAGCTTGTACTCACCCTCCATGGTATACAGTGACATAGGACTAAAACTCAGAGCCTGGGGAGGGAGAGGCTCAATTCTCGCAAAAATGTACTGTATGTCTGACCACCACAACCAAATGAATCTATTAGGTATATGCAAGATAAACCCTGTAGGTAAAATCCAACCAAAGTTAGACATGCTGAGGTCAAATTATTTTCAATTGAAGAGGTAAGCATAGACTTCAATCTCTCTCTCTCCCTCTCTCTCAATATCAATATCAATAGAGCAGACATAGCCATCTCTGGCTGGGCTGTCCTGATAGATGTTAACTATAAAACATCAGCTCCTAATAGCCAGCCACATACGTGTTGCTTATGCATGTAATAATCAAATGTCCATTAGTAGTCCAATGTTGATATAAGAAGACACCATAATTATCTCCCTCCCTCTGTGTGTTTGTAAATAAAAATAAAGTCTGTCTTATGCAATAGTCCTTTTACGAAGTAAATTACGTTTGCACTCAATGGAAATTTGTGTTGGATTGCACAACCTTCGCAGTTTTAATTTCAGCCATTTCAGTATGGTAGCAGCTTGAACATTTACAAAAACTCTATCTACCCTGGCACTTACTTGTAATGCAGTAGCTCTATCCCTTTCTCCTTCGAACTAGGGTCAACTTTCATCTTCTTGCATAGTTTTCGGCTCTCTAAATCACTGCAAGAGATAAACAGCAAATGATGTTTCTGAATGTTATTATGAAATTGCAGCCCACAATAACCACATATAAGAAATTCTTGTTTACCAGCTTAGCGCAACTACTGATAATTTCTTTTTAAATCAAAAGTTAAGTCTACACTGGAGATCCTGTTCTGTATCTCTCCACCCACAGAGACTAGATGGGTATGTATTAGAGATAGGGACTGTTCTGTAGCAGCCCCCACAGCCCCAATCATGGAATGTTCCCCCTAGAGAGGTTAGATAGGCTTCTACTCCATTATGCTCTAGGCAGGTTTCCCCTATTATACTTTAAGACAGGCAGTAATGACTGTCCTATTTCTTTGGTCTTTTAATGGCTTGAATTTAATGGTATTCTCTTTCTTCCTACTACTCTTCAAATTTATTGCATTAGACAAATTCAACTCAGGTGTTTATTGTTTTTTATAACATAAGGAGATTTACTTAGTTGTTGTAGCTTTATCATAAATCAGCCATGGTGCCTGGTAGATGCAGAGTGAAATTTGTGAAATAGATAAATAAAATGAGTACCACTCGTGTGAAACACACATGGAGATCACATTTAAAAAATTAGTTACAAACAATTATCATTTATTTCTTCAACTTTTAAAATCTCCTTTTTCAACAGGCATCTTTACAACAGCACACAATCTATCAAGGAAGTCATTTTAATTAAAAATGATTCAAGTAACATAAAATATGTAACAACCCATACTTCAGAAAGACAATTCATACTATTAACATTTCTGGACAGGCAGAATTCAAACCTATTAAATGTGAAATAAAAATTAATATAGCATAAGGAATAGAATCCAAGATTAGATCATTTATACAATGGAAGATTTGAGTATACAATTATATTTTAGTGGTATTTAAAAAACTATTCAGTTTTATCAAATAAAAGCTTCAAAAGCACATAACACCATACATTAAAAATGCATAAAAATGCAGAGTTCTAAACTGTAATCGAAGAGCAGAATAGCATTTGCAAGCACAATGTAAAGGGGATACTCGGTTGGCAATGCACAGATTTCAGATGTTCTGCCAACAAAGTTTTCCAGCTTCATTGAAAATCACCCTCACTGAAAATTCAAGGATCTAAGGGAGTTTATACTGTGCCAGATTATTTATCCATCTAGTCCAAGGTTGTCTACTGAACTGGGAGCAGCACCTCCGGCAGAAGTCTTTGCCATCATTTTGTACCTGATCGTTTTTTTAAATTGGTAATGTAAAGGATTGAACCCATGATATTTTGCACACTGGAGCTGAAGTCCGTATTATTCAAAAGGCACTAAGTTGGGGGAGGCTGCTTAAATGATAGAACTACTGTGAATACACACTGTCATAGAACTATACAAGACCAGAAAGACTGAGTTATTTACCGAGCAGTATTTCTTTGCTTAGCACCACTAACTCACTGTTTCCTGCAGCAGCCAAGCCCATGACAACCTTCTCTCCACAGTTCATAGCAAGTTTTGCCACTGCAACAGCATTAGAATGTACAACCACTCTTTTGAGTTACCCACACAGCCCCAAATCAAGAGTGTGTATAGATGCCTAGTAATGAAAATTCTGTGAAGAGCTGAAATGGATTTCTCTGGTCAGCAGAAAAGGTAAATGTCTGGAATGGGATGAATGAACCCCCAAGGAATATTTACAGATATTCCTGGTAGAAAAGTAATTATACCAACAACAGTTGTAAAGTTGAGAAGTAGAGGAGCTACAGTGGCATAATGGAAAGAGAAATGTAATAATAGAGCAACTGCCTCAATACTCTTAGGTGGCATGCTTCCTTTTCTCTCTAACAATGGCAGCACGTACATGATTACACCATGATTCTAATACAGTTTTTAGACAAAAACTGGAAGTGCAGGAAACATGCCAAACACACAGCCCTTTCTAGTCTTTTCTCTGAGCTACCATTAAGCTGCCTACATTATTTGCATAAGCTCATTGAGAATTCCAATACTGGTAACAGTGTTTTTGGTAGCAGTCCCCATGCTACTCCTGGAATACAAGAAGTTTAGAAAAGTAATCAGACTCTATGCAAGACACAACATACCTTGAAAAATATGACGGGAATATGTCAGTAAATGGATTGCAGGAGCTGGCATGCAGAATGCGTTCCAATTGAAAGATGTCAAATATAGGTTTTAGATCACATTTAACCTTGTGCTTATTTGGGAACACAGAATTTCGCAAATACATTTGCACAGGTGTGACAGATTTAAAATACAAACAAAAACAGGATTAATTGAAATAGTCAAACACAGAAGGAGATAAAGTGAAAGGCAAAAGGTCTAACAAGAAAGAAAAAAATGTCAAAAGTAAATCTTACACCAGGCTCAATACACAACTAGCATGCTGGTAGCTTCTAGAGGTCAATGCAACGCAAACAGCCCCCTCTCTCTCTGGCAATGGAGGCAGGAGAAGAAACACAGTGATTAAGTATTTTATTACCTCCCCCCTTAAGGATGCCTTTTCTAGAAACAACACATACATATTCCTAGAATTAGATACATAAGCTAGAGGAGATATATCTGATGTAACACCCATCTCACTGATGCTATGAAGCATGTACAACAGTTTAACAAAGCGTTTCCAGCAGCAGCAGAAGCAGCAACTAAAGCTTTTATCGCCTACATTTAGAATCAGATGCCCTAATCTCACAGAAATTATGGTCAAGATAACTATATAAACTGGGGGTGGAGAGAGAGCTCAGCCACTGAGCAGAGAACTATTTTCCTCCCAAATGAGGCTAAAAAATATTTGAATCTGTTTCTGGCAGGAAACTGTCCGTGCTGACTCGATAAAGAGCAACAGCTTATGGATAAATCCTGATTGATTCCCAAACCTTGCCCAGGCTGGTGCTGATGTAAAGCCAGCAAGGAAAAGATAGGATTATCATACCATAGAGCACCGATGGAGAACCTTTTAAAGTCTGAGTGCCAGAACTGCAATCCAAAACCCACTTATTTATGCGACAGTACCAACACTGCAATAAAACATGAGAACTGAGGTTTTAGTTTAGGAAAAAAACCCTCATAGTCAGTACAAGCAAATGGCAGCGCCCTGACCGGCCATGCAAAAGCTCGGATGAGTCGGGATAATAAATTGTGGATCATGACATCACCTGGCACCGCTACTACTTTCTGAGCATGGGCATGGGCCCTATGTGAGCTGTTATCAGATGCTTGGCTGCTGGGGCGATGATGGCGTGACTTGGCTTGTGTGCAGAAAGAGAGGGTTCTGCATGCCTGATGTGGCGCGCTTGCCACAGGTTTGCCACCACTGCCATGACCCTACCCTGCTGCAAAAGCCTAACCCTAATAGAGGGTCAAAGTTCCATTGAAAAGAGGGCGATTTTGAAAAAGCCTTCCTTGAGCAGCTTTTCCTGCACAACTCATCATTTCTACCCATTCTAAACACATTCCAACCATCAAAACCATGCCAGGATGCCTCTTTTTCATAAACCTATCCCTACCCTGGTGCACATCCCTAACCTAATAGAGGGTGAAATTTCCACTGAAAAGAGGGCGATTTTGAAAAAGCCTTCCCAGAGTAGCCTTTTCTGTACAGCTCATCATTTCTGCCCATTCTAAACACATTCCAACCATCAAATGCAAGCCAGGACACCTTGTTTTCCGAACCCTAACCCTACCCTGGTGCACACCACTAACCCTAATAAAGGGTGAAAGTTCAGTTAAGTAGAGGGCCATTCTGAAAAAGCCTTCCTTGAGTAGCAGTTTCTGCGCAGCTTATCATTTCCGCCCATTCTAAACACATCCCTAACATAGGAATCATGCCAGGAGGCCTCATACTCCTAAACCTAACCCTACCCTGGTGCACACCCCTAACCCATCATAGATGGCCAAAGTTCCATTGAAAACTGGGTGATTTTGAAACAGCCTTCCCTGAGTAGCTTTTTCTGTACCCGCGGTGTTACAGATGAGACCAGAGACCGGATGGTAAAAATAAAGAGGAGTTTATGACCTGCAAGATTTCTTGCAGGGACCAACATTCATGGTTAGAATGCGGCACCGGGTGGAGTTTGAATGAGGTTTTTATAGCTTCACAGTGAGTTTTCGGTAAATGGGAAACAATACAATCAGAATTGACAGAAATCAGAACAATGGTGAGAATGGGGAGTTACAGAATCACATAGCAGCAGTTAAGCAAGCGATATACAAAAGCAGATTTGGTTAGCAGTAAGTTTTATCTTTTAATTTACACCTTCTAAGCAATCTTTGCCCATTACATGTCTTTGGTAAGCTTTTTCTACTTTCTGAGGGGAATTCTCTGAGGCAGTTACTAGTCATTTGAATGGGCTAGAGCTTAGGAGAGCTAAGCCTATCATGCATACCCTGAGACAGCTGATTATTCTAGTGTTTGGCCGTGTCATGCCTATCTGGAGCCTAGAGGAGTCATGCCTATCCTGAATGCCCTGAGAAAGCTGATAGGTATCTCTATTATGTCAGGATCCTGGGGAGTCAGGTACAACACACAGCTCATCATTTCTGCCCATTCTAAACACATTCCAACCATCAAAATCATGCCAGGAGGCCCTGTTTTCCTACTCCTACCCCTGCCCTGGTGAACTCCCCTAACCCTAATAGAGGGTCAAAATTCAACTGAAAAGAGGGCCATTTTGAAAAAGCCTCCCTTGAGTAGCTTTTTCTGCACAGTTTATCATTTCCGCCCATTCTTTTTTTTAAATAAATTTTATTAAAAATTTTAAACTAAAACTAAAAACATCAGTCATCAAATACATCAGACGTACTGGATCAGCCCCCTACTCATTTTTTTTAAAAACATTCCACAGTCATGTTCAAATCTACGCAAAGTCCTGTTTCTCTAGCCAGTAATAAAAAGAGTTCCAAGTTTGGTAGAAATATGTATCTTCTTTCTCCTCCAGAGATATAAAGTCAGTCTGTCCATTTCTGCTCAGTCCAAAATCTTTTTTAAGATCAGTTCATCAG